TTTATTTCAGTAATTCAACTCAAATTGTGAAACTTGTGTATTAAATAAATTCAATGCACACAGACTGAAGTAGTTTAAGTCTTTGGTTCTTTTAATTGTGATGATTTTGGCTGACATTTAACAAAAACCCACCAATTCACTATCTCAACAAATTAGAATACTTCATAAGACCAATAAAATAAACATTTTTAGTGAATTGTTGGCCTTCTGGAAAGTATGCCCAGCCTCAGTCCATTCCTTGTGAAGTTCACTCAAATTCTTGAATCGATTTTACCTGACAATCCTCATAAGGCTTGCGGTTCTCTCGGTTGATTGTGCATCTTTTTCTTCCACACTTTTTCCTTCCACTCAACTTTCTGTTAACATGCTTGGATACAGCACTCTGTGAACAGCCAGCTTCTTTGGCAATGAATGTTTGCGGCTTACCCTCCTTGTGAAGGGTGTCAATGATTGTCTTCTGGACAACTGTCAGATCAGCAGTCTTCCCCATGATTGTGTAGCCTAGTGAACCAAACTGAGAGACCATTTTGAAGGCTCAGGAAACCTTTGCAGGTGTTTTGAGTTGATTAGCTGATTGGCATGTCACCATATTCTAATTTGTTGAGATAGTGAATTGGTGGGTTTTTGTTAAATGTGAGCCAAAATCATCACAATTAAAAGAACCAAAGACTTAAACTACTTCAGTCTGTGTGCATTTAATTTACTTAATACATGAGTTTCACAATTTGAGTTGAATTACTGAAATAAATGAACTTTTCCACGACATTCTATTTTATTGAGATGCGCCTGTATAACTCCGACTGGATTCGTCTGAAAGAAGAAAGTCATATACACCTTGGATGCCTCGAGGGTGAGTAAAACACAGGCTAATTTTCATTTTTGGGTGAACTAACCCTTTAGGTATTTAACTAATTAACCCTAATAGGCTGTTGGTGTCTGGGCTTATTTATTTTTTTAGTTTTAAATGACATGAGACTTTGTGACTTCCTGCACTTGCTATACTTCATAGTCATTTTACAATAAATTCAAAAGCAATACGTGAGGAAAACTAGGGAGTTTAAATGGCAACTGAGCTAATGCTCTCCTCCGCAATCCTCTGCTGCCATCTTCTGGATATAATGGTAATTTCATGCCATTTTCATCTTAAGTCTTTGTTTTCCACCAGGATACAATTTATTTCCCTGTCTTCTTCATGAATGAAAGTGAACATTTAAAGGGAATTTTGGCATTTTTTATTTTTAAAAAATAACATTAAAGGCTTTAAATTATTATTATTAAGTGTTTAAAAAAATGTAGGCTTTTTTTTGGGGGGGGGGGTCTTTAAATATTGTATTTCGATTGTTCTTCTACATGTTTTTAACAATACATCCAAGCACAAAAATTGCAAACTAAGTTTGAGATTATTTTTATCTGTTTTATACAGTATAGGTTTCCAAAATAAAACTGTTGTTTTACAATATTGAGCATGTGGTAGTTTATTGAAGTTGATTGTAAAGCCATTGCTGCCAGTCATTTAATTGTTTTTAACTTTTATGTATGTACAGTGTTGATCTAAATGCAAACTAGGTTCTAATCATTGATCTATAATAGAGAACGTCTCGGTTACGTATGGTAACCCTCATTCCCTGAAGGAGGGAACGGAGACGTCACGTCGGATGACTGACGAAATTGGGATCTCGCTTAGAGGGACCAATCTACTTCGAGTGTAAACTAAACGAGCCAATGCACATTGGCATACGATTATTGCATCCAGCTGCTGCTGATCGCAGCGTGAGTATAAGTAGGCAGCAGATGCAGCGCATATTCAGATTTTCGCTGAGGAGCCGAGCCGGTGACCCGGCCGCTCAGCGGTGGTACAGGAGCTGTGGCGATGGGACGTGACGTCTCCGTTCCCTCCTTCAGGGAACGAGGGTTACCATACGTAACCGAGACGTTCCCTTTCACTCTCGACGTCACATCGGATGACCGACGAAATTGGGATCCTACCAAAGGGCCACAGCTACTGCCCCTTCCAGTGTCCTGTGGAAGCCACCTGACTCCCTTTTTTTTGGCGTAGGCCAAGACTTCTTCACAAGAGGAACAGCTACTGCTGCTATGGCACTACCCAATGAGTAAGACTTGATAACACTGGGAAAACGTACCCGTTCTACTTGGAACAGGGGCGTTACGGAAGTCTGCCGGGAAAACACGGG